GCCCCGAGGCAGGGGGACCCGGGCGCGCGGGGCAAAGCCACTACAGGGGGCAACAAAGCAAGAAAAGTCCCGTCCGCCCACCCCACCCTGCCAGTGCAGTAGCTGGAGGGTTTGCTCCCCCTCCCCGGGGCAGCAGAGCTTGCTCAGCACAAAGCCAGAAAAGCACCCGGGTCTCAGGTGAGTTCAGCTCCTGGCTAGAGAACCGCTGGGGGCCTGCGGCCAGACGAGGGTCCCCGGGCTGTCCCAGGTTGGGAACAGAGGCGTTGGCTGTCCCTGTGCCCCCCCAGCCGCCCCCCGCTGTTACCTTTGCAGATGGGCAGGGGTCCGCTCCAGTGGGAGGGCTGGCCCAGGATGCACTTGATGGTAACCTCCCCCATGAGTTCAAAGCCCTCATAGCACATGAAGGTCAGGGACTCTCCTGGCAAGTAGAGGCGCTTGTAGAGTATTTGGTAGCCGTTTTCCGGCAGTCCTGGATTATCGCAGGCCAGCGACTCCTCGGCTGAAAGGGAACACATCCCGGGGTGAGCCCCAGGGCTTGGGCTGCCAAGGGAGAGAAGGAGCCCAGGAGGCAGAGGAGAAGCACCCACGATCTCACCCTGTCCCTCTTTCAGGTAGCCCAAAGCTCTGCACCACCCCACGCGGCTGGGGGAGGTCTCAGCTGCGGGAAAGGGCTTCCCGGGCCCCCCAGAGCAGAGGAGCTGAGCTGCGGGAGAGCAGCAGAAACTGCCCGAACTTACAGACGCAGTGCGGGAGCCGCGAGGTCCAGATGGGCGTCCCCGTCTCGCGGCTGTAGCAGGTCAGCAGCGAGCTGCCCTACCTCCCCCGGGTCCGTGCAGTACATAACTGGGGAACAGAGGCCGACTGAGTGGGGAGCCCCGGCACGGCAGCGGGCACCAGCAGCCGTTGCAAATTGGTGTGGGATGCAATGGGGACAGCAGCACATTGCTCGGGGCACTTACTCTTTTCGCAGAAGGGGGGGTCGCTGCTCCAGCTGAGGTCCCACTGGCAGGTGAGGGTGTCGCTCCCCACGATGTCGTAGCCCGGGTCGCACTGGTAGGTGATCTTGGCCCCTCTCACCAGCTCTGTGTGCGATGTGGTCTTCCAGCCGTTCTGGATCTCGGGTAGGTCGGAGCAGGAGTCGTTGCGGGACACCTCTGCAGCCAAGAGAGATGCTGGCCCTCACCCACCGAGCGGGACCCCGCGGCACAGCCCTCCTCGGAGCCGCTGTACAGGGACACACAGCTCTTGGCCACATGCCTGTCCCTCCCCGAGAGCTCTCCAGCCCCATGCACCACAAATGGCACAGCCACGGCCGGGTGGCATCCCCAGGGCAGAGGGAAGGGGCAGCGGGGCAGCAGTGGGTAACGGGGGCTCTTTGAAGCCCCCCCAGCCCTGACCCTCAAAGCAGGCGGAGGGCTGTGCTGATGAAAACAGGGCAGTGTCTTTGCTGGGGTCAGGGCAAAAGGAACAACCTGGGCACACCAGGCTCAGCTCTGGCACAGGAGGAGCAGTGCCGATGCCGATGCCATGGACATGGCATGGCTGGTTTGCTCTGGCGAGGGGTTTCTGCCCTGCTCTCGCCAGCCCCATGCCCATGCTGGCCGAGCGCCGTGCCCGCGGCTCAGCCTGGCCGCGTGTGCTGCAGTGCACCGAGGAGGGGACCTGCAGCCTTGCAGGTGATCTGCATTGCAGCTTGCTCTCTGTTTGTCGTAACCGGGGCTGTCAGCAGTGGAAAGAAAACATGCTTGGAAGAAGCCTGCCAGGGGAAGACAGGCAGGGGGAGAGGCAGGCAGCGAGCCCACAGGCAGCCGTGGGGAAGAAGCACCCTTCCCAGTCCTTGTCCCTTCCTTGGGCGTCAGCCGCCCTGGTCTGGCAGACGTGGTGGCACCAAAGGACGATGCGAGCAGACATCTCCAGATGTAGTCTAAGCCTCTCCAGAGCAAGGACCCATGAACTGGGAACATCCACCTCGGGAGTCCACCCTGGACTGGCTTCAGTGGCCTCTCCTAGGAGCATGCCTTGCTGCAGTGCCTCAGTGCCATCAGCCTCATGCCTGGCAGCGTGTGTGTGTGGGGGATCCTACACCCCTATTTTCAGCCATTTGCCTCCCTGTTCTGCTCCACAGTTGCACCGGGCCAGACCAGGACTAACAGGGACAAAAATGCCACTGCCTTCTTGCCAGCCTGGAAGAGGGGTGACATAGGGGGACACCCCAGAACTGACTGACCCAGAGACCTGCAGTGGGGCTGGGGGTTTCTGCAGGAGTTTGGTGGGATGTGGAGTGCTGGTGTCACATCAATTCTCCCTGCTTCCAAAGCTGGCTCCTGGATTACCTGGTCTGGTGGCATGTCACGGTCCCCACCTGCCCTGCAGTGGCAAGGCAGGGGACACAGCCAGCGCCCCACTCTCCCTACCTATGTAGTTCATGATGAATCCTTGCCCCTTCCCGAAGATGAGCCCAGCAGGGTCCGAGTGGAACTGGATGGTGAGGTCAGGGCTGGAGGAGTAGAGCTTCTGGGGACCACTGCTGCCGACGTACTGCCCCAGGATGCGGGCAGTGAGCTCGTCCCCATCATAAATGGTGAGGATGTCACTGTTGGTGAGGTTCAGGCTGGAAAGGAGAGCTTGGCTAGAGAGCAGCTTGGGCAGGGAGCCCCGGTGGGACACGACGGTGCTGGGCTCAAGGGGCAGCAAGGTGACCGCCTGCCCTGGCACTGCAGTGAAGCTGCTTCATGGCCCATCCCCATCACTGTCCCCATCCCTGCCCCATCCCCATCACTGTCCCCATCCCCATCCCTC